ATCATAGAATCATAGAATATCAGGGTTGGAAGGGACCTCAGGAGGTCATCTAGTCCAACCCCCTGCTCAAAGCAGGACTGATCCCCGACTAAATCATTCCAGACAGGGCTTTGTCAATCCTGTTTACCATTTTTACTACTGACCTTGGCACAAAAAGTGAGAGTGTGCTAATAAAATTTTTGGATGACACAAAGTTGGGAGGTATTGCCAATACGTAGGAGGACCGGAATATCATACGAAAAGATCTGGATGACCTTATAAACTGGAGAAATAGAAATGTGATGAAATTTAATAGTGCAAAGTCATGCACTTTGGGATTTTAGGGACTAACAACAAGAATTTTTGCATAAGTTGGGGACTTTTCAGTTGGAAGTGACAAAGGAGGAGAAAGGTCTAATTGGCTGATCACAGAATGACCTTGAGCCGCCAATGTGATGTGGCCACGAAAAAAGCTAATGCAATCCTTGGATGCATCAGGCGAGGTATTTCCAGTAGAGACAGGGAAGTGTTATTACCATTATACAGGGCACTGGTGAGACCCCAGCTGGAATACTGTGTGTAATGGTACCCATGTTTAAGAAAGATTAATTCAAGTGGAATAGGGGCAGAGAAGGGCTACTAGGATGATCAGAGGAATGGGAAACCTACCTTATGAGAGGAGACTCAAAGACCTCGGCTTGTTTAGCCTAAGCAAAAGAAGGCCGAAGGGAGATATGATTGCTCTCCATAAATACATCAGAGGAATAAATACCAGGGATGAAGAGGAGTTATTTAAATTAAGTGCTAATGTGGACACAAGAACAAATAGATATAAACTGGCCACCAACAAGTTTAGGCTTGAAATTAGATGAAGGTTTCTAACCATCAGAGTGAAGTTCTGGAACAGTCTTCCAAGGGGAGCAGTGGGGACAAAAGCCTAACTGGTTCCAAGACTGAGCTAGATAAGTTCATGGAGGGGATGGTATGATGAGACTGCCTACAATGGCATGTAGTCGATTTGCGACTGCTAGTTGCAAATATCGCCAGCGGCCAGTATGAGACACTAGATGGGGAAGGCTCTGAGTTACTACAGAGAATTCTTTCCCTGGTGTCTAGCTGGTGGGTCTTGCCCTCATGCTCAGGGTCTAACTGATCACCATATTTGGGGTTGGGAAGGAATTTCTCCCCAGGTCAGATTGGTAGAGACCCTTAAGGTTTTTTGCCTTCCTCTGCAGCAGGGGCATGGGCCACTTGCAGGTTTAAACTAGTGTAAATTGTGGATTTTCTGTAACTTGAAGTCTTTAAACCATGATTTGAGGACTTCAGTAACTCAGCCAGAGGCTATGGGTCTATTACTGGAGAAGGTGGGCGAGGTTCTATGGCCTGTGACGTGCAGGAGGGAAGACTCGATGATCATGATCATCCCTTCTCGCCTTAAAGTCTATGAGTCTGTGACTTTATGTCTATGAGTTGAAGGTAGACAAATTCAGACCATAAACAAGGTGTACTTTTTTAACAGTGAGAGTAATTAACCATTGGAACAATTTACCAACAGCTATTGTGGATTCTCCATTACTAGGAATTTTTAAATCAATATAAGATTTTTTTTTTAAAAAAAGGGTATGTTGTTTTTAACGAATTTGGGGAAGTTCTCTGGCCTGTATTTTACAGAGGGTTAGAGTAGATAATCACAGTGATCCCCTCTGCTCTTGGAATTTAGAAATCTATGAAGCTAAGAATTAATTCTTGTGGCTTTTAGATATCTCTTCCAATGGTCTATTTTCTTGAATTGCAGCTGTATATATAATTGGGAAGCATACATTTTGCTACTTGGTTGTGATATATCACAGATTTATCAATGGCTATTAGACAAGATGGTCAGGGATGCAACCGCATGCTATGAGTGTCCCTAGCCGCTGACTGCCAGAAGCTGGGACCGGATGACAGTGGATGGATCACTCGATGATCGCCTGTTCTGTTCATTTGCTCTGAAGCACCTGGCACTGGCCACAGTTGGAAGACAGGATACTGAACTACATAGACCATTGGTTTGACCCAGTATGGTCATTCTTATGTTCTTATATGTAATTTTGAAGAAGTTTTGTAAAACATATAGAATTTGCCCAGCCTTTAGACTGGAAATAAAGTGCAAATTTTTAACAGTGAGGGAATTAATCATTGGAAGAGTTTATGAAGAGTCATGGTGGATTCTCCAATACTGGCAATTTTTTAAATCAAGATGGATGTTTTTCTAAAAGATCTGCTCTAGTTCAAACAAGAATTAATTCAGGGAAGTTCTCTGGCCTGTGTTATACAGGAGGTCAGACTAAATGATCACAATGGTCCCTTCTGGTCTTATCATTTATGAATGTATGAATAACCTTATTTTCTGTTCTTTCTGAGTTGTCTTTTTGTATCTTTCCAATTCTTTAAGTAAAAAGTAGATTTGTATACAGATCTGTGGAACAGTGACATACAAGCTCAATTTGAAAAAAATCATAGAATCAGAGAAATATAGGGCTTGGAAGGGACCTCTAGAGGGTATCAAGTTCAGTCCTCTGTGCTGAGGTAGGACCAAGTAAACCTAGAACATCCCTGACAAGTGTTTCAACCAGTTCTTAAAAGCCTCCAGTGATGGGGATTCCACAACCTCCCTTAGAAGTCCATTCCAGAACTTATAGTTACAAAAGTTTTTCCTAATACATAACCTAAATCTCCATTGCTGAAGATTAAGACTATTACTTCTTGTCCTGCTACAACGGCATACATCCCTGTATTTAAACCCTACACACTATTGTAATAATCTTGGTGCAGGGTATGCCTTGTGAGGTATCATTTAAAGACTGAATTTGCTGATCATATCATGGCAAAATACATGTGGGAATGTTACATGTGAAGTTATAAACATAAGCTGAAATCATAACTTCCAGTTAAGTCTGGGGAGTGACTAAGCCAGTTCCTCAGAGACAAAGAGAAAGCTGACACCTCAGTCAGGTAAAAACAAAGCTGATGGACCATTACCTGCTAAGTGGCCATTCTCTGGTAGGAAAGGGGGCGGGACAAAAATCTACATCTTAGCAAAGAAACATTGTGGTGTTTCCTTTCTTCATTAGACTGCCTGTTGCTTTGCTTCCAGCTGAAAATACTTCTCAAAGTGGGGGAGAGGCAGACACCCCAAGAGACCCCATCTCTCTCCCTGCCCATCACATTCTTTACATCTGAAAATGCAAAGGAAGCAGCCAGCAGGCTCTAGGGAACGGGTCCTGACCTGAAGAGTTTGGTCATTAAGACTGCTGAAAGCATGTGATGAAAAAACTTTGCTTTGAATCTAATGTAGTTTGATAAGTTAGGCACTGCTGAGTGCTTTCTCTTTATTTTTCTTGTAACCATTTCTGACCTTTATGCCTCAGTAATTATACTCAATGAAGAGCCATCTCTTTGTAGTTAATAAACTTCTTTTATTGTGTTATCTAACCTAGTGCGATTGAGCTGAAGTGTCTGGGTATCTCTGTGTGGGGTAACAAGTTGTGTGTATATTATTCCCTTTAAGGAATAACGAACAATATTTTAGGACATACATTTCTGAAGGAAAATCTGGGACTGGGAGTGTGTTGGGGTCACCCTGTAGCAATCTTTAAGGCTGGTAAGAGCCAATCTTTAAGTCTGTACACGCAGACATAGCTGGGAGTGACCTACATGCTGGAGGCTGTTTGTGAACAGTCCAGGTTGGGGGCTACAGAAGCAAAGCATTGTAATGGCACCCCAGGTTACAGGGCAAGGGTAACACTGCTACTCATTGGTCTGGATGGTACCCTGGTATGTCACACCTACCTTGGACATCGAGAAAAATTTATCACAGTCCTTTTATAATAGAACTTAACATATTTTAAGACTATCACGTCCCCCTCAGTCTTCTTTTATCACAACTAAAAACACCCAGTTTCTTTAACCTTTCCTCAAAGGTCAGGGTTTTTAAACCATGCATCATTTTTGTTGCTCTCCTCTGGACTTTTTCCAATTTGTCCACATTGTTCCTAATATGTGGCACCCAGAATTGGACACAGTACTCAGGCTGAGCCCTCACCAGTGCCAGCCAGAGCAGGACAATTACCTCCTGTGTCTTACATGCAACACTCCTGCTGATACACCCAAGACTGATATTAGCCTTTTTTTTGTAATCTCCATCACATTGTTGACTCATATTTAAAACTAAGATTTTGATATGGGTTTTAATTAAAAGATTTTAATAAAAGTCACAGGCAGGACATGGGCAATAAACAATAAATCATGGAAGCCCAAGCCTCACCATGGGGGGCTGGAGCCTTAGTTCTTCCTGAGCGGAATCATAATTTTCAGGAAGTCATGGAGGTCTCGTAAAATCATGGAAGCTGTGACCTCCATCACTGATTCATAACCTTACTCATATTCAATTGATGATCCACCATAAGGCCAGATCCTTTTCAGCCCCCAATCCTTTACTAGCATTACCACCTAGTCATTTATTCACCATTTTGTAGTTGTGCACTTGATTTTTCCTTCCTTAGTGAAGTGCTTTTGCACTTGTCTTTATTGAATTCCATCCTGTTGATTTTGGACCAATTCTCCAATTTGTGGAGATCATTTGGAATTCTAATCCTGTCTTCCAAAGTGCTAGCAACCTCTCCCAGCTTGGTGTCATCTGCAAATTTTATCAACATACTCTCCAGTCCATTATCCAAGTCATTAATGAAAATATTGAATAGTGATAGGCAGAGTTGCAGAAGTTTACGATGAGGCAGGAGGAAAGTTTAAGGTGAAATATGATGTAAAAGTCCACTGAGTACAAGTTACACTGAGACCAAGGGGAGTAAAAAGGGAGAAAAATCAATATCTTTTCCCTGCCTCCCCTCCAAAAATAGGATTTTATTTCTCAAACGTACATAAAATGCTCTTATTATGAATTGTTTCAAAATAACAAAAGATCAAGGTATTAAAACTGTTGAAAAACAGTAGAATACACTCTGTGACAAGAGGCTTCCTACCTGATTCCAGTGTAGGAACATGGAGCGTAAAAAAGAAAATGATATAACTGCACAGGGAGAGGTTGCCCATTGCACAGTGGGAGTGGAAGGAAATCCTCATCTTGATTGTACCTTGATCCAGACATCAGAAAGGAAAAGAAAAAACAAATACAAGTGAACAACGTGCTGTAATTTGGGCAAAATTCGTTGAGCACAATATGAATCCTAGGACTTGCGCTAGTTAATAATTGCATCAAAATGTGCAAGTTTGCTACTGTTTTTAACATAAGACATTACAAGGCAAAACAAAACTTGGGCTTCCCCATTCACCACCTCAAATTACAGTCCAATATTCTGGGCAAAGGCCTTAATACTAGCATTTTCAAAATTCCTTGAAAAATATTATCACAAAAATCACTAACTTTTGTAGAGTAACAGTCTGGTTGTAAAATGACAAAGAGAAAGTCGCCAAGAAGAAAAAAAACCCTTAATGTATTTTGTATCTATTTTTATACTGCAGTGTGAGAAAAGGCATTGCAATTTCTGGGTCTGTGTCACTTGGATAAATACAGATCATCTAAAGTCATTAATGCACCCTTTCAAGTAGAAAAATTAGCATTTTAAAAACAAATGAAAGGATGAGAACTTCCTACCACCTACCTCATGAGCCCAGGAGAAACTTCTCAGCAGTTACAGGATCACTGGGACATTTCCAGCTTCTCTACGGTCAGTGAAATGGACCCTTAGTCCAGGAGGTGCCTTACAATGAAAGAATTCAAGTTACGGTATAAAGCAAAAATCATTTAGGAAAAGAGATTCAGTTCAGTATCGTCTGTCCTTGTGCCATTTTATGATAATGCTTTTTAAATTGCAGCAGAATTTACTCTTTTCTCCTGCACGTAGCAAGATTGAAGATGCAAGTGAACTTGTAAAGCAGAAAGCCACCATTATCATTTAGATGGTGATATGAAATTAAAGAGCCTTATGGAAACCTGCACACAAGAATGTGCTTATTCTCTTAAACCCAGCAGGTTTAGCCTCACACACATCCCGGTTTGAGCAGTCATTCCCACTTTGGAAGAGGCTGCTCCACCCTGGCATGATGGAATGATGGTAGTCATTCCATAGTTAAGACTGTAATTGTTCCCTTTATAACCCTGGTTTTTGACCCTACATCTATAAACTACAGGAAGATCCTATCAGCATCAAAATTGGAACACTAGGTCTGGGGCTGAGGTAAACTATTTCTACCAAATTTGATGTGAATTGGACAAGTGGTTGCTGAATTATAACAACCTGGAAAAGAGGGGTCACCAGAGTTTTAAAAACATCTTTTTTTTTTTTCTGCTTTATAGCATAAAAACAAACACAAACCCCATTTTTTTATGGCTGCCTGGCCCTTCCACTCCCCCCACGCTCAACAGAAGAGGTTCAGGGGCTGCCTCACCTACCCCATCCCTGGCACAGCACCAACCCTCTCCCCATTACTCTAATCCTCTGAACACTCTGGTTTATGAGACTTGCCCAATGTTTGGCTCTTCCTGCAGCCTCTTGCCTTGTTCACATGGTTGGGAAGAGGTAACTCCATTGTACAGACAGCATAGCTAAGCACACAGATTTAGCACACTCATTCCAAAAGGCAGTGTGGCTAAGTGGGAGTGACTTGGGTCTGCCCCAGGAGAGACCTGCGTTCTTTTCCTAACTCTGCTAGAACTGACCTTAGGTAATATCTCAGGTCCTCAGTTACTGCCTCTATGATGTAAGCAGAGTCAGGATGAGCTCCACCCTGACATCTGGTGGTGAGGTGTGGCAACTTGTGGAAAAGAACTTCAGGGGCTGATCTCATTTGCATAGGCTCACCCACCCCGCCTAGAATGAGGCCAAAGCTGCCCAAATGGTCACTTTGGCTGCTGTGGGATCCCCAATGTCTCTGTTATTGGGGCAGGAAGAATAAATTGTTATTACCCTGATTATGGGAATCAAGGACAGTGGAACTATACTTGGCCTTTTGTATGATGGAGGGACTCACCATCAACTAAATAGCAGTCGGTAGGCAAGGGACATGGGTTCTAAAACTCTATAAATTGAGAGAGGCTTGAGACAGGTATTAGTACCTGGTGGGTGTGTGAGAAACACCAATTGCACTCCTGTCTCTCTACTGTGGAATGTCAGAGCTAATTTTTGGTCTTATTAAGAGTCTCCCTACAGGTACTATGCTGAGCTCACTTTGGCCTTATAGTGCACCAGCACTAAGGCTCCTGCTACTATGAGCTGAAATCACTGAAGACTGTGTCAAGTAGCGGGGATCCGGAAGATCTAGAGTGCAGTGGTGCTGTTCATGGATAGGCTGGCAGAGCGTTCATGAGATGGCAAGCTGAGCTGTTTGTGAGACAGGGGAGCCGTTTGTGAGAGAGTGGGGCGGAGCCCTGTGGGGCAGTCAGCTTCTAGGTCATGTAAGGTGCCCCTTACCTCTTTCCCCCCACACAGGCACATTTTTAGCTGGACTGGGGAGTAACACTCTGCAGATGAACTTTTGAACTCTGGGGCTGGACTTTTTGGATTTTGGGTGATTTTTGGATTGCTGGACTCAAGAGACGTTTGGGTTGTGGGACTCAAGAACCCGAGGGAAAGGATGTGGCCCAATTTTCTGGGATGGGTCTTTGCTCATGGTTTGGTTAATGAACACTAGTTGTGGTGTTTTCCCAATTTAATGCTGATGTCGTTTACCTCATGTTATTAAAGATTCTCTGCTACACCGAGACTCTGTGCTTGCGAGAGGGGCCTCGAGCCAGTTTTGCATTTGATTTGATGAGAGGAGATTTGCATTTGATGAGAGGGAACCCCTATGTACTGAACCCGGCCCTTGCTGCTATCAACTTGGCCTGGCAGAAGGGTTACAATTAGAAGGGGGAGAATGATATTTGTTGGCATCCGAGGAGAAGGACATGGGGTGGTATTCACAAAGGTACTTAGGTGCCTGAGTCCCATTTTTAGGCACTGCTATGACCCACAAAACCGCTGCTTGGCTGCTGCCCAACCCTGTAGGTGCCTGAACTCACTTGGCTGCTCAGCACCTAAGTTTTTGCAGCACAAATTCCCCAGCCTAAGTTTCTGCCTCCGTTCATGTGCACTGCTGACTCCCCCAAGGTTTCCAGATGTCTATCTCCTGGCTAACCCCCAAAACAATCCACAACCTGGGGAAAGATAGGCAGAGGAGCACCTATCTCGTGTATTAGACCTGATCTGGGAGGCAAGCTGAGAGGCTCCCTAGTTCCACACAAAGCAGTTGCGGAGGAGGGGGAAGCTCATTTCCTTCACAATGTTTAGCCACATAGTTAGGGCATACATCATGGATATGGGAGACCTCCAATTCAAATCCCCCCTCTGCCAGAAGAGTAGAGATTTGACCAAGTCTCCGATAACTGTTCCAGGCTATGGTATATTCTAGTTTAAGCTGTTCCACTTAAATATTAATTGGGCCAGAGGAAAGTGTGACAATCACTCTATGGTGGATAGAGCATGCCCTGAGAGATGGCAGAGCCATGTTCAATTCCCTGCTCCTCCTCCAGCAGAGAGGGGGATGTAAACCAGGGATTTCCCACATTCCAGGTGAGTCTCCCCAGCTCCTGGGCTAATGATTGTTTTGTGTGGCACTAGGCAGCCTCTGAGCCCAGAATAGCCCCACACCCCAAGTTAGGCGGAGAAGCACTTATCTTCCCTCAGCTGAAAATCACAAGCAGAGATAAACACATTCCTGCAGAAGGGTTTGGCACACACCCCTCTTACTTTTCCCCCACTGGTTAGCTTAGGCAGCTCCCCACCAAGCGTGCTGGCGTTATGAACCGCATTCTAAGGTGCCGGTGTCTCCCCATTCATTGTATACAGAACCTGGGCACCTACCTCAGGCTTTGTGAATTGTAGTGTGTTGCTGTGATTTTCTAGACGCCTGAAAGTTAGGCATTGTGATGCTCAGTGTCACAGCCCTTAAGTGCCTTTGTGAATCTAGCACATGCCAGCCTTGATCAATACTCAGACTGTGAAGTGTAGAGGAATATTAACACCAGGAGTGAGACTGGACCACATGCTCTCCTGGCTCCCAGCCCAGTACACCTCCCTCTAGCCTAGGGATGTTAAACTCATTCTGTGCAGTTGGCCAAATTCCATTTTTATTATGATCTCGGGGCCAGGGTATCCATTTAGGACTCACCACTCTCCTCCTTCCACAGTGGCGCCCTCACCAACCCCAATGAGATATTAAGAGCAGAATGCAGCCTTTATAGAGTAAATTCACTTTTCATTATCATCACAGTGTGTTACTTCTTCAGGGCCTTGTTATCATGCTCAGCATCACTCAGTGGGGAAAACGGTCCCAACTGTGACCACCATTCTCTCTGTCTGTTGTTCCTCTTCCTTCCCCATCCTCCCTTTTCTTTTTTCTTTCTCTTCCCTTACTTTTTATGTCTCCTCCTGTCCTTGCTCAGCATTATTTCCCATCAGCTACCACCATTTCACCTCCACAGCTTCCCACCCACCCCCTTCCCTATCCCAGTGGCTAAAATGGACAGTGGTAAAATAGTTAATGCTAAGGTAATGACAGAAATGACCCCCAGGTTCACACCTTACACACCATTGCAAAAATGTTTGTACAAGGCATGCCTTCTGAAGTGTCGTTTAAAAACACATCATTTGCTGATCAATCATATCATGGCAAAATACAGCACATAGGAGCGTTACATGTGAAGTTAGCATAAACTAAAATCATAACTAAAAGTACGTTTTCCAGGTAAGTCTGGGGAGTGGCCAAACCAGTTCCTCAGAGACAAAGGGCAAGCTGATGCCTTGGCCAGATGAAAACAAGGCTGATGGACAATTACCTGCTAAGTGGCCATTCTTTGACAGGCAAAGGGGCAGGACAAAAATCTACATCCTGGCAAAGAAAAAGCATGCAGTTCCATCCACAGACTGCCTGTCGCCTTGCTCCCAGCTGGAAATTCTTCTCAAAGGGGGGACAGGATTATAAAAAGGAGGGGTAGACACCCCTAGGGTCCCTCCTCTCTCTCTCCCCCCACCAATCACATTCTCTATACCTGAAAAGACATAGGAAGCAACTGTTGGACTCTGGGGGAGGGGTCCTGACTTAAAGAGTTTGGTCTGTAAGACTGCTGAAAGCATCGGTGAAAAACTTGGCTTGAATCTAATATAGTTTGTTAAATTAGACACTAGTAAGCTTTCTGTCTTTATTTTTCTTGTAACCATTTCTGACTTTTATGCCTCATTACTTGCACTCACTAAAAATCTATTTCTTTGTAGTTAATAAACTTGTTTTAATGTTTTACCTAATCCAATGTGTTTACATTGAAGTGTCTGGATAACTCTATTTAAAGTAATAAACTGCTATATTATTCCCTTAAAGGAATAATGAACATAGTATATTTGTACTGTCCAGGAGAGGGCTGGGCATTACTTTTCTGGGAGGCAGCCTGGGACTGGGAGTATGCCAGGATCACCCTATGGTAAATTTTAAGGCCAGTAACAGCCAAGGTGTGGCTGACTGACTGCAGCACACACAGACATAGCTGGGAGTGACTTACACACTGGAGGCTGTTTGTGAGCAGTCCAGGTTGGAGGCTACAGCAGCAAGGCATTGTAGAGGGCCCCCAGGTTACAGGGCAGGGGTGATGCTGCTGCTGCTCATTGATCTGGACTGTACCCTCATATGTCACAAAGGTTTAAAACAGAATTATTGGAAACAAAAGCTGAGATTCTGTACTATTTAAGGATTAGCACCGGGCCTTCTCATTCTGCGGTTTGAAAAATAAGGAATAAGGGCTTCTTATTTTAAATGATGGTCCTTGATTCAGGTCCAGCTGGCACATTCCGGGGTGCAGTCCATACCAGTGAGGTGTGTCACGGCCTGTTCTGCATCCTGGGGTACTACACAATGCCTTTCTGCTGCAGATCCCAGTCTGGGCTGCTCACAATCAGCTTGCCAACATGCGGGTCACACCCTGAGTGTCTGTGCATCACCGCAGCCCTGGCCCAGCAACTGCGACCCCAGCAGCAACACTCCAGCTACACACTGGCTTCCGCTAGCCTTGGTTACTCCCTGCAGAGTGACCCCAACACACTCCTAGTCCCATACTTTCCCAAAAATTTGTGTTCGGCACTGCCCACCCCTCTCCTGGGCAGTGCAGATATTAAAGATTCATGGCCCTTGTAAGGGGTCAGTGCACAACATTTTATAACTTTAACTGGAGTTACCAAACAGCTCAGTTTAAACACAACACTGGATTAGTTTAAATTAAAAATAAAATAAGTTTATTTAACTATAAAGAGATACATTTTAAGTGAGTACAAATATAAGACATTAAAGTCAGAAATGGTTATAAGAAAAAATAAAGATAAAATGCTTACTAAGTAGCTAAAACTTAACAAGCTAGACTTGGTTCAAGGTAAAATCCTACCACATATTCCCAGCAACAGGAATGAACAAAATCACACGTCAGGCTCTACCTGGAATGTCAAAGGGCTAGTTCCTTTGTTTTCTTAGGTGGGATAGAGAGACACGAACTGGAATGTTTTTGCCTCTTTTATAGTCCAGACACCCCTTGAAGTGGATTCTTCTGAAGATTACACCTCAAAACAAAGTTTGGTCAAACAGTAAAGAAGGCAAAATAGAGTCTGGGGTGAAGGAGGCGCCATGCTTTTTCTTCTCACCTGTGTTTGCTGAAATGCAGATTTGGCTTGTCTCCTGCCATTCCACCCCTTGCGGTCTTGAGGACCCTTTTTACTAGTGTAGCTATTAGTAAATATTAACCCTTTTAGTTCTTTATTTCTGTATATTTGATTCATTTATAGATAGAAGTACTGGGATTAATCTGCAGCAAGGGAGATTTAGGTTAGATATTAGAAAAGCTTTCTAACTATAAGGGTAGCTAAATTGTGGAATAGGCTTCCAAGGGAGGTTGTGGAGTCCCTATCATTAGAAGCTTTTAAAAACAGGTTGGACAAGCAGCTGTCAGAGATGGTCTGGGTTTACTTGGTCCTGCCACAGTGCAAGGGGCTGGACTTTATGACTTCCCAAGGTCCCTTCCAGTCTCACATTTCTATGATTCTATTATTAGAATCTTTAGAATCTTTGTCTTCAACAGAGTATGTCTGAACTCTAAGGTCCAGAATATTGGTCCTTGACTGATAAGTAACCATATTCAGGAATGTTATGCATTATGCTATATTTTAACAATCTTGGGCACTTTCATGTCTATAAAACTTCAGATATTCTTGGAAACCACCTCCATCATAAATAAATATAGATAATGGTTATATAAGCATATATCAACTTGGGAAACTAATAAGGGATGATTGTTACAGCAGATGTTTTCTGTTGGGGAATCCCCAGGGAAGAATGACTGCGGGCTGAGAATGACCCACTGAGAGATGTTATCTTGAAGAACTGTTAGTCCCCTCAGATGTAAATAATCATGCCTTCACACATAAATCAGGTAAAATAAAAATGTATAGAAATGACATCACAACGTATTTTTCTGGGAGTCTTGGCAAAGAGGATTTCTTTGTCTACAACCCTATATAATGATACTGGAGTGATGAAGTGGGGATTCTCTTAATGTTTTGTTTGAATACTCTGTGTGTGCCTCAGTTTCCTCTATGTGTTGCATAAGTATCTAGGTGGTGGAATAAGGGTATGTGATCATTGCAGAGAATGTAGAGGGCAGGTGTGGCTTCTGTCTTGCTCCCTGGGCCCAGGCAACAGCTGGACACTCTGTATCCCGGCAACTGATGGCCAGGCCCCATATTTTGCAAGGAACCAGCTGAAGGAGTTGGAGAACAAAGTGAGAGGTGAAGGTTAGGTGACCAGTTTGCCCAGGAAAGAGACAAAGCACAGAGGAGGGACAACAGGGCGTGACTGAGGGTGGGCTGCTGGAAGCTGGACAGTCTTGTTTGGGACTCGGGGAGAGAGCCCAGGGCTCTGAGCTCTGGATCCCCTCAAGATGGACTTTGCTGAATCTTCCTACTTTCTGCGCTAACAAGAACTGTTCTACGCTGTGTTCCCAACAACTAATAAACCTTCTGTTTTATAACACTGGCTGAGAGTCACTGCTGACTGCAGAATTGGGGTGCAGGGCCCCTTTGGGGGGAGTGTAAGGCTTCCCCAGGTGGACTCACTACAGAAAGCTCACAGTGTGAAACAGGGGTGCTGAACGCTCCGAGGTCAGATCCAGGAAGCACTGAAGGAGGCTTGCCCTAGTGAGAGTGCGCCCTAAGGGGAGTCACACTACAAGAAGTCCCTGTCTGAACTTCATTCAGAGTGGTTCCAGAGCACCGAGCCTGTGCACTCCATGTCAAATGGTATGGGAACTTGGAGAGTGAAAACTGAGCCTCCCACCAGATACAGTGAAGCAGAGACACAGATCCAGCTCTTGGTCTAACAACAAAGAGTGGTAATGTATTTCTTTCTTTCTGAATTCTGTGTAATGCTGTACTAATCTCTGATTTAATCTTAGATTAAATAATTCCAGCTGAGCCTGTTATTCGACAATCTTGAGTCATTAACTCAGACATGCAACACTACTTCGTAAATTGAGGTAATCACACATTACTTTGTTTAAGACAGACCTCTTGAACAACTTTTGTATAGGCTGGTCTCTATGGTTTTGAACATGTGCTAATACAGGGGGATGTCATAACTTTACATATAATGTTGCAACATACATTTCACCATGATATTATTGACCATCGAGTTGTTTTCAAACGATACCTCACAAGGCATATTTTGTACAAAGATTATTTCACTAGTGTGTAGGGTGTAAACACAGGGTGCATTGCCTCACACCCACACAGTAGATCTCAGCAGTGGGAGTCCAGTGGCGTGAGTTTAAGTGCCTCTTCTCTTTCAGCACGTAGTACACTTGCCAGACAAACAAACTGGGGAGCACTAAGAAACGAGACAATATTGGCCAACATGCACCTTGACACAAGATGGAGGCACCACATGCAAAGAACTCAGGGCCCATTGGTCCTAGCTTGAGTCACAGAGCTCCCAAAGCAGGAGGAATAAGGGGCTGTCCCTCTCTTGGGGATCAGGGGGGGTCCCAGGAGGGGTCTACATTTTTTCCTGTGATGTAGGATGTAAAAAAGCATTCAAAGACTTGTGGGTTGTTGAAATCAGCTCACTTGTAAGGTGCTCTAGCTCAAATAACTCCAGATTTTCCCACAAACTTGATCTCACTTCCCTCCCTCCTTCCCCCCATCCGTCCCCCCATGACCATCAGGCTGAGCTGACTTATTTTTTGAAATTTAGAGAGGATGCAAAAGTTGGCTTTAAACAAAAACTGCCTATGTCTCCAGCTCTCCTCCAGGGCTCATGCCGATTTATGCCAGCTGATATCCTGGTAAGGGTTTCTGATGGTGGAGGGTTTACCAGGAATCCAGGTTACAGTGGCACTTCTTGTGTTCACAGCACACACACAGAGAAGTTAAATAAAAATGTAAGTTTTTTTCTTAGATTTCAGAACACACAAGAACCCAACACTAAGAAGAGACACAAATCAGTCTGCTCCCTAAAACAGAGAGCTGCAATTCTCCCCACCTTACTTTAAGCTGTCTGTCTGCAAAGTGACTGCTGGCACAGTTACATGCTTAGCTGCAGAGCCCTCTAGCCTGGAAATGGGACCATGGAATTCCTCCCACCACCTTAAAGCGATAGCTGGCAATCCAACACAGTTGGACCTCAGTACACCCCAGCACTGAGGATCTCTAATTTCTCCTGCATTCAGACAGCCATTGAGGGTCAGTGCAGCCCAGGGAAGTGGGTACAACCAGGGCTGCCAGGGAATGCACTGGCTCAACCCCTGCACTCAGTGACTCCTGCTGATGGGGCTCTAGCAGGTGTTAAATCTGAACCCTCTTCTGGGAGAACCCTAAGGACAGCAGCAGAAGTAACCATCAGCCTTCTGTCTGGGTAACTCCCCCCTCTCCCTGGCATAGAAAGGTCTTCATGGCCCAACCCCTCTCTGCAGCAGCCATATTTAATCTGGCCTACGCCATTTCCCTTCTTCTAATCTCTTAGAGCAGAACTTCAGAGGCATGAGCTGATGGCAAATACACACAGCCAATGGAGAAGGAGAACGAGAGAGCACAAACTTCTCCGACGACAGCTTGCAGGAAAGTCACCAGAGCAGAAGTGCTGGAGTGTAAATGTAATTCGACAATATCATGCAGAAGAGCGAATAAACAGACACTATTTCAGCCTGTGTTACAGGGTAATGGAAAAGGGCCGCAAAGATCTCTGAGCATTTTAGACATTTCTACAGCAATATTTAAAGTAGGAAAGTGAGAGCCCTGGACGGACTCCCTGCCATAGGAACAGTTCCCAAGAAGAATAATAGAGCCTCACCCACAGCAATTGAGGGCTGACACTCACCTGCCTGATGGATCCTACAGGCAAGTGCACAGGCTAGCGGCAGAGAAAGGGCTCCCAGCTTCAGAACTGCCAGGTCTGCATGACAAGCGAACTTCTCTGTATTTACAGCTGCATTTCCCACTAGGCACGTCTGACTGTAGTCTGTTCAATCAGCTATTGCTGGTTAACTTACAGCAATTTTATCAGCTTCCGAATGAAAGTGAAACCAAAGTTACAGGAAGCCCATTTATGGTATGCAGAGATAAAAGACTTAAAGAAACACACACACAGTCCCAGGGAGTTGACAATTTCAGGGAGAGCAGATGCAATTTTCCCTGGTTTGGAAGGTGACAGTTTTAGTTTTTAAGGCTTTTCCCTGCTCCCTCAGAGTCACTGTCATAACAATCAATTGTATTTCTGTCCCCACAAGCACTACACTTTTCTGACTGAAGCAGTGTGCCAGGGTGCAGAGTTAATAATCAGACCTCAGTAGTAGCCCTTGGCCAAGGCAGGAAAGGCCTCCCTGGGGTTCCAAGTAATTCACAAGTTTTCTGGTGCAAAATAAAACAAACTCTGAGAGATAGGCCACATTCTCCTTTCACAGTGGAGCAATAAACACCAAGAGCCATATTCTGCCTGGCCTTCATGCAGGTGTTTAGTGTGAGCTCAGAGGGCGCAGAGAGGCTTTCCCTCCCTCCTTGCATGGCCTACATAAAGTCCCCCAACACCCTGTACTGGTAAGACTAGGGCAGGGCAGCCTACAAAGGGGTGCCGCAGCTGGCATGCTCCCACTGCATGTGCTGTAACCCAACCATTATCTTCATACCTCCAGAGCTGACTTCCAAGCAGAAAGGCCCTGTCTATCTCCAGGGTACGCGAGAAGGGACCAGCCCCTTCAGCTGAGCCTAACAGGCCCTTCTTTATTTGATAGACTTACGGGGGGAAGATTGAGGGTTGTTCCTGGGGGATGAACAGGGCTCCTCTGATCTATTGGCTGGCTGACTTCATTCATCATTTGTGTGGGATAATGTTTTCCTGCTGGGTGGGCGTCATGAGCTGTTGTGACCCTTATGAATTGTTCAGGCACCCAGAGCATTTTGGAGGGGTATTTTATTGGTAATTTACTCTAAAGAAAGGCTAATAGTAAATAACAGAACTGGTCTTGCATGTTTTCCTCTAGGGGAGGTGTCAGAATTGCCAGGGGACACCAGTTATTTTAATTCCTGCCTCATCTCCCCCAGCCAGAAGTGTCCCATGACTCAGCCAGCCTGCTCAGGAGATTGGGCTCCCCCAAGGAGGCTCCTTTGCTCCCCTCTCAAAAGTGGGGGGGCAATGGCCCTTTGCCCCCCTCCCCAGTGCCTATGGAAGAAACCCATTTCAGTGGCTCCTTGGGAAGGAGAGGAGCCAACGGGCCAGCTAGGCCCTGGCAGAGGACCTAGGGCTGGGACTACATGGACAGATCCCCCAGAGCCCCTCCTGTTGCAGCAAGCAGGGGTCATTGTATAGAGCTGCCCTGATGTCCCCTCTCCTCTCATGGATCCATATAGGATTGGTGCCATGCTCCAGCTTTGGAACAGTCTCTCGGAGGAAGCCCTTTGACGTGCCAGACCCCTAGAGGTCTCACTCTTCCCCCAGGGTGAGACAGGTGGCTTCACTGCCTCCTGAGACTGGACCTGTGGACCTTCAGCACTCCTGCTTCACACCAGGAGCCCTGTTCAGCGAATTCAGCTGAGACAGACTCCTGATGGAGACTTGTCCACTCTTCAGGGATTAAGACACCTCACCAAGCATTTGCAGTAACATTCAAAGAGCATTGACTAATAAAGTAGGGTGACCACCCATCCCGAACTGGATGGGACAGTCCTGACAGACAGAGTTCAAGTCCCAGTCCCGGGCTGAATGACCCCAGGACAGCATTTGTCCTGGATTCCCTGTGGCACTGCTGTGCACCTGCCCAAGGCTCAGGGGCTGCACCAGCCTCTTCCCAGGGGTGGGTGGGCTGAGGTGGGCTTCACTACAAGGCCCTGCCCCATGCTCCTCCTCTCCCCCCTGAGGTCCCCTCCCCAGGCCAGATCAGAAGCTAGAGCTGGGCTACTGTGGGGAACCCCAAACGCTGTACCTGCCCTGGGCAGCATGCCATGGGGGGCAGGGACATGGACCAGGATATAGGCCTGGGATCTGATCAACCCCCCTCCCCACAGTAAACCAGCCTTGGGTGAAATTCAGGGAGTTCACCACTAAAATCGAAAAAAAGAATATCCTGCTGCTGATAAAGCACCCCCATCTCAGGAATGTCCCTAATGGGAGTTGTAACCACCAAGGTTGTAAAGTAGAAACACGCAGGCTCTGGGAAAATTTTAGGGAGTATACAGAGACTCAACAAATGGTAAGATAGGTTTAGTAGATTTGAAGGAGGAGATTTGATAGTTCTATCTATATAATGTAAATGAAAAACAATGCTCTTTGGAAATCAACTCCAGACTGCAGTACAATAACAAACTGCAAAACACCATATTCCCTGCATGACTCTGATGTATGTGGGCACACGCTGGGCACGTCAGGGGTAGCAGAGAACAGCAGGAGGGAGGGAGAGAAGGGAGAGGAGTTCAGCGGGGAGCCCAACAGGTACGTGTGGTGCTGGGCACACAGGCGTTATTGCTGAGCTGTAATGTGTGTCTATAACACAGCTGCCACATTCAATAGGAGCAAGGCAGAGCAGAGTCCGGGGGAAGAGGTGGGGAGGCAGCCAGAGTGGGTGTACCAGGCTGTGCTGTCACCATGTGTGTTTTCTCTGTGACCTTGCTAGAAAGGGGCTAGGTAGAGGCAGCAGGTCCAGTGGTTAGAGCAGGAAATCTCTGCCCTATTTACAACTGAGCTAATGGCTCCCTGCCCTCTCCTGTTCCCCACGATATGCTGAACTGGACGTGTCTGTCCCTGGAAGCTCAGTAAATCCCTCCAATAGCTTCCCTCTGCCCAACCCAGCTCCCCTGTCCACATCTGTGCCGGTGGCCCATGGGGTTCCTCTCTGGGGAGTTCAGGAGTGGCGGGTGGTGCTGTATTACTCTGAGGTGAGTTAATGATGAATGAACCAGCCTGGCCATAGTACAGTCAGCACATTTGTTTATTGCCCTGTTTGCTGTTAATGGTTATCAGAATCAGTGATGGTGGGTTAGTGCCTAGGAACCCCAGTCACAGATGTGTAATAAAGAGACATCCCTGGCCCAGGGAGCTCACAATCTACACGACAGACACAATAGGAGTGACAGAGACTCCCAGCACAGGTGTGGGCAGGGAGGGTGAGGAAACACTGAACCAAACTTGGCTGTGAGCACTGACCACACTTATTTCATAGAATCATAGAATATCAGGGTTGGAAGGGACCCCAGAAGGTCATCTAGTCCAATTGTCTGTTTTTAGGAGCAGGAAAACAAGGCCCCAGCACTACTGAATAACAGAATGTTCTTATAGGTTCAGGTCACGGTGCAATGATCAATGTTTTATTCTAAATGTGAACACAGAATCACAACTGGATGGAAACTGAGTGTAAACAGAGGCCAGTGAACATTCATTGTCCCCTTGGAAGCACTGTGCTAGTCTCAAATCCTCAAACTCATGAGTTTTCTTCCCTAGCTTCTACCTGCATTTTCAAGGACCTGCAGGATAGCTCCTACGGATGGGCACAGTTTACCCACAACCTACTTAAGGTATGTCTACACTATGGAATAAGGTCGAATTTATAGAAGTCGTTTTTTTAGAAATCGGTTTTATATATTTGAGTGTGTGTGTCCCCACAGAAAATGCTCTAAGTGCATTAAGTGCATTAACTTGGCGGAGTGCTTCCACAGTACCGAGGCTAGAGTCGACTTCCGGAGCGTTGCACTGTGGGTAGCTATCCCACAGTTCCCGCAGTCTCCGCTGCCCATTGGAATTCTGGGTTGAGATCCCAATGCCTGATGGGGCTAAAACATTGTCGCAGGTGGTTCTGGGTACATATCATCAGGCCCCCTTCCTTCCCTCCCTCCGTGAAAGCAAGGGCAGACAATCGTTTCGCGCCTTTTTTCCTGAGTTACCTGTGCAGACGCCATACCACGGCAAGCATGGAGCTCACTCAGGTAACTGTCACCGTATGTCTCCTGGGTGCTGGCAGACGTGGTACGGCATTGCTACACAGTAGCAGCAACCCATTGCCTTGTGGCAGCAGACGGTGCAATATGACTGGTAGCCGTCCTCGTCGTGTCCGAGGTGCTCCTGGCCACGTCGGCTGTGAGCGACTGGGCACACATGGGCGCAGGGACTAAATTTGGAGTGACTTGACCAGGTCATTCTCTTTAGTCCTGCAGTCAGTCCTATTGAACCATCTTATGGTGAGCAGGCAGGTGATACGGATGGCTAGCAGTCGTATTGTAGAGATGAGGATGGCTAGCAGTCGTACTGTACCATCTTCTGCCAGGCAGGCAAGAGATGAGGATGGCTAGCAGTCGTACTGTACCATCTTCTGCCGAGCAGCCATGAGATGTGGATGGCATGCAGTCCTCCTGCACTGTCTGCTGCCAGCCAAAGATGTAAAAGATAGATGGAGTGGATCAAAACAAGAAATAGACCAGATTTGTTTTGTACTCATTTGCTTCCCCCCCTCCCCTGTCTAGGGGACTCATTCCTCTAGGTCACACTGCAGTCACTCACAGAGAAGGTGCAGCAAGGTAAATCTAGCCATGTATCAATCAGAGGCCAGACTAACCTCCTTGTTCCAATAAGAACAATAACTTAGGTGCACCATTTCTTATTGGAACCCTCCGTGAAGTCCTGCCTGAAATACTCCTTGATGTAAAGCCACCTCCTTTGTTGATTTTAGCTCCCTGAAGCCAACCCTGTAAGCCATGTTGTCAGTCGCCCCTCCCTCCGTCAGAACAACGGCAGACAATCGTTCCGCGCCTTTTTTCTGTGCAGACACCATACCAAGGCAAGCATGGAGGCCGCTCAGCTCACTTTGGCAATTAGGAGCACATTAAACACCACACGCGTTATCCAGCAGTATATGCAGCACCAGAACCTGGCAAAGCGATACTGGGTGAGGAGGCGACGTCAGCGCAGTCGCGTGAGTGATCAGGACATGGACACAGATTTCTCTGAAAGCATGGGCCCTGCCAATGCATGCATCATGGTGCTAATGGGGCAGGTTCACGCTGTGGAATGTCGATTCTGGGCTCGGGAA